AAAGTTTATGTACACCAATAGTCGATTGGCCTACCCTTGTTCTTTAGGACTTTTTCGAGTCTCTTCCTGTTTAGATGTACTCGGTTTACGGCCTCCGCAAGCGGTTCTGGTTGTGGTTTTCCCATTGATTATCCTATAAATTGTTTTTGTTAACGTTAAAGCATTGGGCGAGATTTGATATCGAAAATCCCAGCTTGTGCTCGTGCAATTCCGTCTCTGTTCTCTTCACTGAGATAACGGGAACTATTGGTTTTGAGCGCTGCTTCCTTCATTATGGCGACAACAATACGAACATTCAAAGCTGTGCAAAAAAATGACCTTGATTTCAAGATTGACTTTGATTGAAATGGTATTTCTCGAATTCAGTGAGTTAGATATCAAACATAGATTATTATTAAGAAACCTCATTTACTGTAATTTCCCCGGGTTGTGAAACATTTCTATTTGGTTATTCAATAGAGTTGCTATAATGGATTACATGTCGGAGGTCGCAAGGGTTTATGGAGATAATTTGGGATAATTCTTCATTTATTCCTTTTAGAATATATTGCGTTTTTTCATGTTCAGACCATTTAATCTTAGCAACCAAGGTCACGCACGTTTAATTGACAATTATGCAACCTAGAAACTGCTTAGATCCCAGTAAACAAGATGTAAATTATTGTCCACACATAAAGCATTAAAACAAGGAATAAATATAATGAAACTCCAATTGATCATAAAGAAAATATTTCAGTGCATCACAATCGACCAGTACTGTATATGTATATATATATATATATGTACATATATAGTTTCGCTATGAGCACATCGGCCAACAACGGTCCTACCAGTAATTCCACGGGCACACCATCCTTTTGTCAATGAATCTGCTGGTTGAACTTAAATTGGCCATTGTATGTGCATAAACAAATCACTGAAAACGAGTTTGTTCGCCACTCTTTATACTGTTTGAATTGTGCGTCGTTTTTTTGCTGTCCGAGCTATTCTCATCCTCTCTGTTTCTTTATCTTGTTCACTCCCAGAGGAAGACGACGAGCTTACCTTCTCGGTTGGTGAACTAATCACCGAAATCGAGAAAATCGATCCAGGCTGGTGGAAAGGACTGTGCCGTGGCAAAATCGGCCTATTCCCAGCCAATTATGTGGAAGAGCAATGACCCCGAGGTTTGTGCCCGTTGGTCAAACACGAGGAACCAAACCCATTGCGCCCGTCCTCGTTCCATCTGAGCTACATGCAGCGAACAGTCAATATTCCTGCCTCTTTATCTCTCTCTCTCTCTCTCCATCTGACTTGTTCCATGTGCGATAGATCACAAACAGAATTTTCCAACACAGGGGTTGTTTTGTGTTCGAAACCCGTGATTTTCTTTGAGCTGAATTTTCTCCTTTTTTAAGATTAATTCTCACTTCCTGCGTGCCATATGGAATTCAACGGGATTCAGTGTCCACCACTCGCTTTTGCCTTGCCACATACCATTCTTTCTCGTCTTCTTCAATCTACTCCAATAACCACCGATAATATTTTACGCTTTTGTAATCGACAACAGCTTCTTATGTTTATCTTTGCTCACACATATATCTTTCTATGTCATATGTATCCATTGTATGCTAATGATTAATAATATTGTTTTTTTCGGCATTCAATAAGATACGGATATTATGACAAACCGTGGATATTTTGGTGTAGATGAACTGAGCGTGGGTCCAAGAACTTGAAAAAAATGTTTGAAGACCCAGTTACTTTCTGCAAGGGTTTATCAATAAACTGAACACAAAAATCGAGATGATTGTGAAGAATGAAGTCTAGAAGATCATTGCGGGGTTGTGTCATGGCTCTGGCACTAACCAGTACAGTAAAATCCTTTTCGTTTTAAACCTTATTTTGGAACGTACAAAGTTAGAATCGATTCCATTCGATGACGTTACCCAGCACTAGTCGCTTATCAAGAATGCTCTGCATTCTGCTGGCTTCGTTAGTTGTAGTCTGACACATCACGCCGTGACACCCAGGCTCTCTGCAGAATCTCTACGGATTCTCGACGCACGCCGATTAATCCCAACCGGCAGCCTACGCAGAGACCGCGAGATCTGATGGACTCAACGCGCGTTAGAGATAGAACATGCTGCCGCCATGGGAAATTCCCGTAAGCTGTTCCATCTCATCCGGGTCACCGGTAGAAAAGCCTTAGGTGTGAGCAAAGCGATCGGCGAAGCTAACGGTTCGCTCATTCAAAATCAACAGCGACGTCTTGCACGCTGGGTGGAACACTTCAAAGCACAGTTTAGCTGACCACCAGTGTCAGCTCTTCACACAGCTATTCCGGAATACGTCCCATGGTTTGTCACAACAGACCCACCTTCTGAGGCGGAAATCCATGAGGAGATCCAAGCCTTGGAACGTCACAAAGTGCCGGGCTCCTATGGCCTTCCCGCTGCTCTATTTAGAGATGGTGGAATAAAGCTTGTTAGAGAACTACAAGTTCTCTATTCTCTAAAGTTTGGAACACTGAGCAAGTCCCCTCCTCGTGGGGGGGGGATAGATTGTTGTCCCCATTTTCAAAAGGGCCCGCGCAATGACTGCGCTAACCATAGGAGTGTAAGCCTAATCCCGACATGTCAAAACTGTTGGCGTCCGTCATTCTCCGCCGATTGTTTACTCCGCGTGAGGAGCGGACCCGCGAAGAGCAGGCTGAATTTCGTGCCGGTCGTGGATGCATCGATCAAATCTTCACCCTCCGACAGCTGCTAGAGCACCATCATGCCTACCAAAGGCCAACGATCATTGTATCCTTAGACATTCACGCGGCCTTCGACTCTGTCGATAGGACCGCATTATGGAACTGTTTGTTGAGGAATGGAGTACCTGAGAATTATGTGTCGATCCTCAAAGAGTTGTATCGTCATACCTCAGGTCGGGTTAGGGTCCATGGCCAGCTTTCGCCGTCTCCAGTGGAGTTTGAAAAGGCTGCCCTATATCCCCATTCATTTTCAAGTTTGTCATAGAGGGTCTTCTACAGAATGCTTCATCCGGTCTAGCAAACGGTGGAGTCGAACTCCTTCCAGGGAAAAGAGTCCATGACTTAGAATATGTCGATGACATCGCCTTGCTGGGTGACAACATACAGGCAGTCCAAGAGGCTTTTAATCGCTTGGCGATAGAGGTATCCAGGTATGGTATGTGCTGTGCACCATCAACGTACTGGTTCAAGACTGGCAGGAGC